ATGTTACGTTTTTTCTTGGGGGGGGGGGGTTACTGAAAGTGTTCCAAGACGCAACATTAATTTCTTGACAACCTAATATAGATGCCTAAGAGTTTGTTCATAGCTTCTAGTTAGTATAAATGTGGATTATCTTTATTAAGTATAAATGAGAAACATATTGTATGTAATTCACAAGGTAGTTGTATTGATGCTGAAATTTTAATTATAAAACTTTATTTACAGACAAAATAGCACAATATCAACTTACTAGTCTTACTCTGTTCCGTCACTGATATCTCATAGCAGATGACCAAAAGTACAAGGGCTGTCACAAACTTCATCTCTGTAAAAAAAACTAATCTTAAATATAACTAACTCAAAATGTAAATCTGTAAAATTTAATTAAGAAACTAATCCTATTTCATACTGCATTGCACTAATACGCCTTACTGTAATCATCAATTTTATATCACAACTGGGTAATGCATGTAAATTATAATGAAATACGTTATACATCAGAACCGTTTGACTTGAGTTGACTGATATAGACCAAGCATTTGACGAATAAGAATAGACACGTTTCTTCGATTAATTTTTTTATGATCACTTAAGCTTTAAAAATTGACTACTCCTAAACAAAAAAAGCCCTTCAGTTAGTAAATGTTTTTTTTTCAACATCTGTCTTTCTAAAGTAAATGCATTAGTAACTTTTATAAAGAGTTTGACGAAGGTGTTTGCATAAAAACTAAATAGAAATGTTACCTAAAACAGCAAGATTAAGGCAACTTCTCTAAAGGAGAAAACGTCTCGTTTGTCATGAAAAAAAGAGTGTTCTGCGTATAAAAGTTTCGTAAGAAAGAAAAAGGATATGTTATCGTCCTTCCTGTTGTTTCAGCCAGTTTTACAGGATGTGTTCTTCTGTTTCCGGGATATAAAATTGACCGTGAAACAACGTATAATATTTATTTTCTGTTGATATTTCGACATCTTCATCATTAGTTATGTGCAAGCGAGAATATGTAATCTGAATAAAGCTTAAATAAGTTATTTCAGAGGATACCCACCATATATATACTTGCATAAAAGAAATGATAAATAAGGTTAATAAATGTATGGTTGTTGTGGAAATCGCTAAAGAAAGGCCCTACAAGTGACAGCGTCAAACTCAGATAGATATAAATATCATGTTGTACATTATATAAATGTAATTTTTGACTTTTACAACATCCCCATCAAACAGAAAAACTGTTAAATAGATATACTCAATCTGTAGATTGTTTGTTTTGTTTGTTTGTTTTTGAATTTCGCACAAAGCTACACGAGGGCTATCTGCGCTAGCCGTCCCTAATTTATCAGTGTAAGTCTAGAGGG